GGGCAGCACTAAACACACTAAAAGCAGCATGTAAAGAGATGGGGTCACTGCAATACCACCACCAGTACCCCATGACCCTCAGGTCTGGCAGCATATTCACACACGTTCTACCCAGGAGTTAAAGTCACTGGAAGAGTCCTCAAGGATTGGAAGCATAGTGGGCATGGCTCACCCATGTTCCCAAAGGCACAGAGACCAAAGGGTCCTAAGGGGCAGAGAAGAGGTAGGGACTGAGGTCCTCCTGACAGGTTACCCTAAGCTTTTTGTTACACACAGCCAGGAGCAGCCTTAAATGCTCTGTCTCTAGCCATAATGTCTAAGCGTTTGCCTGAGTTCGTCAAGTAACTTAACATGCTGTGAAGATATAGATTGAAGTTGCTGCACTTTTTTTTTTTTTTTGACAGCACTAAGATTTGTTCTCAATGCTTCATGCTTGCTAGGCAGGGGCTCCATCACTTGAGCAACACTCTAAGCCCTCTGTGTTCTGGTTATTTGAGATAGATGTCTTACTTTTTTATTCTGGATGTGACTGGATTGCAATCTTCTTATTTATACTTCCCATACAGCTAGGTTGACAGGCATGTACCACTATGCCCATCTTTTTCTGTTGAAATAGAGTCTTGCAAATTTATTTTGCCTGGGCTGGCCTGGAACAACTATCCTCCTGATTTCAGCCTCCCAAGTAGTTGAGATAACAGATAGGAGCCACGAGCAATGGCTGAAGCAGTGGCTCAGATGTTGGCCCCATGAGTGCTGAGTGCCCAAGACAACTGTCCACTGTATTTCCATCTCCTCTGCAAGGCGGGTGCCTGTGCACATGGTGTTGCTGGACAGTGCTTCATGAGGACAGGCCCTGAGAGACAAAAGCATAGGCTTGGGACACTTGCTCAATGCAAACTACCTCCTTGTCTTTATGCTCAAACGGTTAATGTGAGAACTGATCAGGCCATGAGATATCAAGGAACAGACACTGTTGTCAGCAAAGGCATGCAGTGACATCCAGGTCCCAGACGACGTGATGCTAAAGGGCAGCATACAGGCTTTGCCCCCCCAAGAATGTGCACAAGGATAGGGATACAACTGGTGGTGCAATCCTGGGTCAGCATGCACAGGACCCTAGGTTTCATCTCCAGCACTGAGAAACAACTCACTAAAATCAAGCATGCAGGGCTGGGAAGGTGGCTCAGTGGTAGAGTGCTTGCCTTGCATGCATGAGGCCCTGGGTTTGATTCTTCAGCACCACATAAGCAAAAAACAAAAAAGCTGGAAGTGGTGCTGTGGCTCAAGTGGTAGAGCACTAGCCTTGAGCTGAAGAGCTGAGGGACAGTGCCCAGGCCCAGAGTTCAGGCCCCACGACCGGACCCAAAAATAAAAATAAAAAAAATAAAATCAAGCATGCATCAGGTGAACCCTATTCACAAAGGCAAGGAAAACGCATCAGCAGTATTGGGGTACATGACTGCCAGGCCCTAGGACTCAGTGGTGATACCTGGAGAGGCCAGAGGCCACTTAGAAGAGGAGGGCACCATCCTGGCAGCTAACCACAGTGTCCTGCCCGTTCACACAGACAGAAGTCAAACACCAGCAGCTTCCTGAGAAGGACAATAAAACACCAGGCCACTATGGCCACTCCAACAGCCTCCAGAGCCAGGCACAGCCCATACACAAGTCAGCCAGGGTGCCCTCCTGTGGTGAACAATGGAAAATCCAAAGGATGCCAGGACTGGCAGGGTACCTGGGGAGCAGTCCTGGAGGAGTCCCTGCTGCCATGGGCCCTGTGGTGTGCAGATGGGGCCCAGGGGAATGAGGGGAACAGGTGTAGAATGCCAGTGAGGTGATGCTGGGTCCCTTGTAGGTGTGACACAGTGTGCACTCAGGCTCCAGCTCACACCCTTCAAACTCCTCAGTCCGAGAAACAGCACAGCTCCAGCTCCATCAGTTTCTAGTCCTCATGCGCCCAGCCTGCTCCAGGCAACAACGGAGGGAAGGGGAGGTTATAAAGTGGCACAACCACTGGGCATGTACTTGTGGCTACCACCCATTCCACTTGTCCCACCACAGGCCTTTCCTCAATATGGCTGATGTCTACAACCTATACTTTCACAGCAGCTTTGCCACCAGAGCCCAGCCTGGACACCTGTCACCTCCCAGCCACCAACCAAATCTTAAGAGCCGCACACAGCCCCGTCTTCACTCCTAGCATAGGAGACACTGCCTGTGCGGCTGTATTATTGCATGGGTGCATGTACTGTGAAAACCCATAAGCCTGGCCATATGTGGACCATATCTCAGGGTCTTGTGAGGGGGGCGGGGACACTGATATTGTGTGTGCCCAGGGGCAGGCGCTTGGTTACTACTGTAAGGGCAGCACAGTCATTTCTGAGATCTGAGCAGTGTCCTGGGTTCCATGGCTGCCTGTTTTCAGAGCACCGCCCCGTGGCTGCCTGAGGGCATCACCCTGCAGGGTAAACCAAGCAAGGGCAGGAGGAGAAGCGGAGAGGTAGAGGAGCAGGCAGGCCTGGAGTGAGCACTCAAGAGAGGCCCTGTCAGCCTGTAAAGGGCTTCCAGCAGCTTTCCAGGCAGAGAAAGTGGTGGGCTGACACAGTCCAGGGACTTCTGCAATGGTCTCACCCCACCCCAGCGTCCCCAAAACAAAGTGGTGGGCCAGGCGCCCAATACTGAAACCCCACAGCTTCCACCAGAACCCCCAAGTTTACATTTTAAAAATGCCTCTAGTTTGTAAGTATTCTTCATAATGTTGGTAACAGGTTCTGATGACAAAGCTGGGCTTTAGCCAAGACCGCCCTGTAGCAGCCGCTCTGCTGCGATCTAGACAAATCAGCCCTCAGGCTTTGGCCCTTGTGATCTGCTGGCATCCAGGGACAGGAGTAGACTTCTCGATCCTGGGACCCTCAGGTGCATGACGCTCCCCACCCTCCCTACAGATCTGGGGTGAGAAGATGGTGAACCACCTTTGACTGAAAAGCCCATATCCATGTTCCCAGGAGGGTGCTAGCTCAGGAGCCCTTGCTTCCTGTGCCCTGCCCTGTCACTCCTCACATCACAGGCCTTCAAGAGGCCACAGTACCTGAGTCCTGGGCCCAGGAGGTGGGTAGTTCATCCAGGAGCACCCCAAACCTGTGAACCCTGTGAATAACATCTGACCCCACAGAGCCCCGCCCCAACCAGCTCATTGTCTCGCAGTAGCAGTGGCACCAAGCATCTACCTACAATGACAGGCATGGTCTGGCAGCATAGGGTCTGTCCCTCCATCCCTGCACACAGGGCACAGGAACAGTGGGCTTCAGAACAGAGTCCAGCCCTCCCTTCACAGCTGGAAAACCTGAGTCAGAATCAGAGAGGCTGGTCTACTCTAGAATACTGGCAAGTGGGTGTTCAGGGCAGGCACTGCCCTGTCCACTGTGGGGAAGACTAGACAAATTAGACAGGGCAGGAAGCCCAGGGGGCCTTCAGCACCCCCACAGTCACACATCCCAGCTACCATAGACCACCACCACCACCACCACCACCTCTGCAAGGGTGGGGGTGGAGGTCTATGCTGCCAGGGGCAAGGCACATGGGGCAGGGAGTCAGGGACCATCCTGCAGGATGGGGCAGAATATGAGTTTGTAAAACGATCCATCAAGGCCACCAGAGAAGCCAGGAGCAGCAGCCACACAGAGAGACTTGGGGGCCAAGTGTGAGGAATGTCAGGAGAAGCTCTCAGAGGAAGAGGGCAGGTGGTAGCTACCTGTGGTCCCACTAACCTCAGGACCAGTGAGCTGAGTACGGCCTCACCCGAGCTCATCATCAGGCAGGGGCTGCCATGGTGAGCTGACACAGGACAGTGTGGGGCTGCCAGGAGGCAGGTGGGGAGAGGGAGCCCAGGGTCTGGTGGACATCCTGGAGGAGGGAGACACCCACCGGCTACAGAGGTAGGCAATGGAGAAGAGGCCATTGCCATCCAGGGCCCTAGATTTCTCTTCCCTGGGAGTCAAGCACTGGGGCTCCAGAGAAGAGTCTAGCTCCTAGAATAGGGCTCAGTACCAGATTCCATCAAGTGGCTTCAATCTCCCACCCTTAGGATGACAGCAATGCCCCCTTAAGCCAAGGGGCCTGGGTGAGGTGCCCAGGATACTTTCCTGCCTGACTCAGGAGGCCAAAGCAAGCACGTGAGACTGGCAGTATAGAGTGCAGCACCAGCCAGGGGCTGAGCATAGCACTGCATCCCCTTGCAGGTGTTTTCCCTGGTGCCATCTGTGACCACAGATGGGCTAGGTATTGCATAAAGTCCCCAAGGGTTCTTCCCCCCCCCCAACATGGCACAAGCTTTGCAAAGGGGTGTAAGCACCAAGGAAGAGGAACGTAAAGCCTACAGCATCCCAAGTTTCCACAGGGCTACCCTAGGAGAAGCTGAGAAGAGGAAACCGCTCCCCAAATCCATTACCTTGTGTGGCCACAGCTCTCCCTTCAGAACCTGGGGCCTCCGCCCAGGACCTGCTGCTAGTGCTGTAGCCTCCTGGCACAGTCCAACTGTGTGCGGTAGGCAGGGTAGCAAGGGCTGCTCAGCATTGCAGTCAGAACTCCGTTACCTGGCACCCAGGCCACACAGCATCTACTGTCCCGGTTCATCCTGTTATCAGAGAGAGAGGGCCAAGACCCCTGATCAGGACTGGGCTACCATGGCCCCGGGTGAGTGCTGGGAGAGGCTCGGGAGCGCATAGCTGGCTGGCATAGGTCCTGAGCACTTAGAGTCTGGGTGGGGTTTCAGCTCCTATTTTAAGTTGCAAACGTTGCTGCTTTCTGGGAGGGGCTGTGTGAGGGCCAGCACGCATCTGCAAGAGAGCCCTGAAAGCTGGGGCTCAGCTCGGCACACGTCACCCCTCCATCCAGTACAGGGAGATTTGAATGTGTGTGGTCATGTGACCAAACCATACACTACTTTAAACCCAGTGTGTGTGGTTTGGATGACTTCAGGCCAGTTCCTGTTTCTTCTTATGAACTGTAGATTTCTGTGCCTGCCTGGCTTCAGCGAGTAGAGCAGCAGAAGCTAGGCCAGGAGCAGAAGTCTGGCTCCAAAGAGCTCCTTCCATCCCAAAGAAGAGACACAAGCTGTCCATCTGCAGGCAGCAGAAGCAGCCTTGGCACAGGTAAGCATCTGTCCACCTCTATGGGAGGTGGCAGACCTGCCATCCATCCTGGCTTCCACCTCTTGAATCAGCACTGGCTGGGGGATGGGGAGGCCTAGAGAAAGTTTGCTGCTGTGGTGGGAAGTTTCTTTGTGAACTCAAACTTTCCACTACAGGTTGGTTGTCATATGAAAAAAAAAAGCAGCTGTTGCTCTAGGCTTTGTGTGGAGATGACTGCAGGCACTAACATCGCACTAAAAGAGGTTGAGAGGCTCTAGTGGGTGCCCAGAGGGGCTGGAAAATGTTTCTGGGGGTCAGACTTTGCATTAATGGAGCTGCCAGATAAGTAACTAGTGCTGGGTCTTCTTGTAGAAAAAATCCCACAGATCTGAGTTGGCAGAGCACACAGCACATCTGAAATGCACACATGGTAATGGAGGATTCTGCTGGTTGGCTCTGGTGGGGTGAGGTAGGCATCCAGACGTGTACTTTTCCTTCCAGAGGACACTGGCAGGCAGGGCAGGGAGGAGCCTGTGGGAGCTGCGGCTGGACTTCCTGAGACAAGGGAGCTGGCCAGCCTCCGCACAATACAGGCTCTGTGCTCCCAATACTTTAGTATAACAGTAGTGTCCCTGTGAGTGAGGGCAAGAAATAGAGCTAGCTGGAGCCCCCACATGCAGGTCCATTTCGCTTCATAAGGCCACTGGACAGAGCTCCCTGGGATGCTCCATAATGCACTCCAGGGCTTGTCATCAGCCCAAAAACAAGCATGTGTGAAACTGGCCTCGCTGCCCCCACAGACCAGCAGGAAATGTGCTTGCTCAGAAGCAACAGCCAGCTCAGCCTCTGGGCTGCCCAGGACAGGGCTTGGCCAAACACATTGAGTCTGCCTAGCCAGGTGGCCCTCGGAGCTCAGGGTTCTATCAAAACCTGTTAAGTGAGCAGCCAGCCAGGGGGCCAGTAAATGGAAGGAAGGGCTGGGCAGTGGAAGTAGGGAGCAGCAGGGCTTGTGGGTTCTACAGAGGGCAGGCTGCTGGGCGAGGGTCCACCCACAGCCCCACACAACCCCTCACGATAGGTAGCAGCTCATGCAGAGCGAGGGTTGCCCCTCAGTTCTCAGCCCAGGCCCTGCCCCATGCTGCTCTTTCTTCCGGGTCACTGCTGGACACCAGGACTAGCAGACACCGTGTGAAGATTGGGTGGGAAAGGGCTGGAGAACCTGGCTCTTACCACACTGAGCCAACCACAGGCAAGGGTCATGTGTTTCCATAGCTATGCGTTAGTGCTGTGCTCCTGGTGTATGGGTATGTTGACCAGGTATGTACATGCATGTAGGCAGAGTTGTGTTTGTGTTTCCTGGCAATGCATGCACATATATGTACACAGCATATTTATGTGTATTTGCATGTGTCCAGTGTGTGTATAGCAGTCTATGTGTGACACATATGTCTTCTTCAGAAGATCCAGAAAAGCAAAGTGGGCTCTGTTATCTTTCTCCTTTCATTAGATTATTTTTCACATCTTAGGCAGAGACTCAAATAGTCCCTGAAAACAAATAGCCTTGGGACCACCAGGGGGAGGCCAGGAGCAGGGAGCTGAGGACTTCCTACGCTGCCTTCCTTGACTCATGGGTCACAGCCAGAGGCAGATGGCCCTGGCCGGCTCCCATACACCACTCGGATGTCAGTCTAAAGCCCCTCTGCAGCTACTCCACACCGAGCTGGCCAAGGGCTGGGGGCGTAGGACATCAGGCCACGTATGCAGAACAGCAGTGAGTCATTGGAAGTTGCCTCTGCCTGCAGGAGCCAGGGAGACTGAAATGGAAACATGACTGGGCCAACAGCAAAAGCTCTTGGCCAAGTCCTGCCCAAGAAGGCAGGGCTTCAGAGTAAGCAGAGTGGACTGCCACTAATGCCATTGTGCGCTCCATCCTGATCACAGCCCCTGCCACCTCCCCCACAACTGAGTGACACGACTGCCAATGCCCTCGGTTGGGGCTAGGGAAACAACTGAGCTGTACCTCACTAGACCCGTGGGGCCACAGGCAGATCTTCTTGGTAGGGCTCATGGCCCCTGCCTGGTGGCTGAGGTTCATTCACCACCAGGCCACTTGCACGTAGGGCCCCTCAGATCATGTGGAGAATCCTGACCAAATTTCTGCAGACTTTGCACAAATGCAAAACAATCTGTAAGAGCAAAAGCTCCAAAACGGTTCAGTCCAGACAGAGAAGGACTTTGTAATTACTGACCTGGCACAAATTATGTAAGGATGGCAAAAACCAGGGCAAAGCACAGAAGACCTTCCAACTGGTGCACTGGACAGGGGTTGCACAGTTCCTGAAGGATGGACATTCAGCGGTCTGTAACAGAGCTGTGGGGTGAAGCATGAGACCCTGGCCTGTCTGGGGGAGGCAGAAGTGTCTGCCTCGCTGGGAGCTGTACAGGGGTATGGTTTGCCCTTTCCTCCTTTCCCACTCCCTAACTCTGGGAAAGCAACTGGTACTAGAGCCAGCCCATGTGTCCAGGAGCCAGTCGGAATCTGGAGGGCCTGAAGCTGCTGCGAGGGACAGAGCATTCTCAAGGCGCTGGCCCTGGGAAGCACCCCAGGGATCCAGGCTGACCTCAGCAGCCCTTCCTCAGGGCTTGGGAGTGGCTCTGAGCCCCTGGTTCTTAGCCTGAGGATGGCTGCCATGGAGTGCCCAACCCTCTGCCAGGAATTCTGGGGCTTTGCTTTTTCTGGAGTTAAAAGTATAATTCCAGCAGGAACGAAGAATGGTGTGGCTGCCTGGGAAGACTCAATAGTGCCAGGATGACCGCAGGAGCCAGCAATGCCACTCGCAAGGACATGTACCCTCCTAAGCAGGCCCACCGCAGCCACTGCTGCCTGCAGACACCAACCTCGCATACCTGCCAGCACAGGCCAACACCACGTACTCAGCAAGAGGACACGTGCCAGGGAGGGCATCATGCCCCATGAGAAAGAAAGCTGGCTTTTGCAGCAGCTTTGCACACAGATCCATCTCGTGTTACTCTAAAGTAAAAGTTCAGGAATAGAAAATGGACACTTGGTGGTGGCAGAAGAGATAGATGAAGGGGCTGGGTATTAATGGGGGGTGGGAGACAGCGAGGGGACTGTTCCTCTTGCTTATGTGGTGGTTACAGTCATTGTATGATCAGGTCCTCCATGGTTCCCACCAAGGAAAAAGTGTGTCACTGTAAGTTCTTTAAAAGAGCCATTAAAAAAAAAAAAAGGAGTGCCAAGTTCTCAGCAAAAACTATCTAGGTTCTGACTTGGGTCACTGTGTCCACTAGCTGGTGAGCCAAAGACGAACATCTCTCAGTGACTCATTATGACCACTGCAAGCAAGACTGTAGCTGCAGCACCTGTCTCATGTGGAAGCCCAGGTCTGAGTAGATGACCAAATTCCAAGTGTCCCATCAGGGTCTGGCATGTGGCATGATGCCAAGAGAGGATGCCATCCACCTAGGTGCCAGGCTCCAGTCACTCTCCCTCTCCATCACTCACTTGCTGTGGTTCTAGAGTTAGGGAGATGTTGGAGAAGAGAATTTCAAGGCCCAGAAGCTCCCAGGATACAGGGAGCCAGAAGAGGGAGCCAGGAGACTGAGCAGCAGAAGCAACCCGTGCAAGGCCCAGGAGGATCAGTGCTGTGTGCTCTAGTTACACAGTCTCTTCAGTCAACAAGCAGCCAGTGGCCACTCACGCCTGAAATCCTAGCTACTGAGGAGGCTGAGATTTGAGGATTGAGGTTAAAAGCCAGCCTAGGCATGAAAAGTCTGTGAGACTCTCATTTCCAATTAACCAGCAGAGCCAGAAATAGAGCTGTGAATTAAATGGTAAGAGCACTAGCCTTGAGCAAAAAAGCTCAGGGACAGCACCCAGAGTTCAAGCCCCAGGACAAGGACCAGCATGCACACATACACACTAAGAGGAAAAAAAAGAAAACAGAAAAGGAAAGGCAGGAGCTGGAAGCTCATACCTATAATCCTAGCTACTCAGAATCACAGTTCAAAGCCAACCGAGGCAGGAAAGTCCATGAGACTCTTCAATTAACCACCAGAAAACCAGCAGTGAGTGAAAAGAGCTCAAGGACAGTGCCCATGCCCTGAGTCCAAGCCCCATGACCTCCACAAAACAATAATAAATTTTAAAAAAGAAAGAAAGAAAAGGAAAGAAGTGGCCAGGGGGCCTTGCAGGCAAGCCTGGCACCAAGACCTGACAATGTGTGATTGTGGTCTGGCCCTCTAGGTAGCACGGGGTGATCAGCTGTACCAGGGCAGCACACACAGGGGGCTCGGTACTGCATGGGGCTGAGGGTCCTACTGTGCCTTGAGGAGCCCTAAACAAATATACAGGACTACACTGTGCTAAAACATCAACTGGGGAGGGGTTTAGCGTGGATGTAGACAGAGGTGTGGGCAGAATGGAGAGCCTGAGTGGTGCCATGTGATATCTATGCCCAGTGCCCACCACTGAGCAGTCACGTGGCCTTCTCTCCTCTCTTCTAGTGCACACAGTCAAGGCAGGAGACCCAGGAGCTAAGCTGAGCCTCCACACGGAGTGGCCCAAGTGGCAAGTGGAGGGCAGAAAGTTGCTGCAGTGGAGCTCTAAGCACTGAACAAGGTGCCCTCTTGCCCTAGAGAGCAAGGTGCTCTCACTCAGGGCCAGGCTACAGCCACACCGGAGGGCTGGGCAGACAGCTCCTAACCATGGAGATCCACAGACACACCACCTGACACCACACTGTCCACTCAGCACAGACCAGCTGTGGACAGAGACTGACATCTGCACAACACTGTTTCCCAGATCCTTCCCATTGTACTGATGAGATGAAAATCTTCTTCTCAGACTAGTCATGATTCTTCATTTCCAAGCCACCTAACCCTTAAGTAGTGGTGAATTAGAATAGTCACAACTCACTGCTGCGTCTTGAGCCAGAAACACACCTAGGGAGTGTCTATAGCATGAAAGGTAGATTGGCCTTGAGGTACCAAAACACCACCAGAACATCAAAGGGGACCCCCAAAATGCAAAATCTGAGTTCAAATCTCAGTAAACCCCCTTCCAAAATCAAAACCAAAAACAAACAAAAATAAAATCTACAATTACCTTAGCCAAGCAGTGGCTCAAACCTGTAATCCTAGCTATTTTGGAAGCTGAGATCAGGAGGATTGTGGTTTGAGCTAATCTGGCCAAAAAGTTTGTGAGACCCTCCTCCAATCTTTTTTTTTTTTTTTTTTTTTGGTCATGGGTCTTGAACTCGGCCTGGGCGCTGTCCCTCAGCTCTTCAGCTCAAGGCAAGTGCTCTGCCGCTTGAGCCACAGTGCCACTTCTGATTTTCTAGTGGTTTATTGGAGGTAAGAGTCTTACGGACTTTCCTGTCCGGGCTGGCTTTGAATCGTGATCCTCAGATCTCAGCCTCCTGAGTAGCTAGGATTACAGGCATGAACCACCGGCACCTGGCTTCCTCCCCCACTCTTAACTAATATATATGTTATATTAGCATCTGTTATCCCAGCTACACCAAAACTGTAAGTAAGAGGATCTTAGTCCAAGGTCAGCTTTATCTGAACAATAACCAAAGTCTCAAGTAATAGAACACCTGCGTAGTAAGTTCAAGGCCCTGAGTTCAAATCCAAAGTACTGCCAAAATCAAAAGAACAACAGCAAAAAGATGAGTCCAAAGGCCAGCACACTGTGCCATGAGCAGGTACCCTTCCCAAGGCCAGTGAGTTATTCTAAAGACCCCCTCTTCTTCTTCCTCCTCCCCCCATACCACATGGTCTGAGTGTATCAAGGTGCAGGCAGTGGCAGATCAGTCCCTCCAGCCAAGAACCTCCAAGGCTTATTGCCAGAAACAAAGTCTGCCCCAAATTCCTATTCCTGGATATGCGGGCTTTGTTATGACAGAAAATCATTTCCTAAAATGTTTTAAAAAAAACTAGGAGGAGGGAGGGTAAGTTTCTAAAAAACAAGTAAACAAAAAAACAAGACACAAGGAATTACATTGTGAAACCTCTCCAGACACCCCCAGGCTGGCAAGGGGGTTAATATGGCCAGGTATACAGACGTCACCCCTGAGAGCCAGCACTCTGGACTGGTAGGAGCCTCCTGCTCGACACCAGGAAACCCAAGGGGCCATACAAAAGCCAAAGCAAACATACTTCAGAGCAAGTTGCCTTCATCTGTCAGTAATTTTTGAATGGAAGTTTAAGTAGGGCACTCAATATGTTGTATTCCGAGATAGCCAAAGACAGAAATCAAAAGAAGCTTCAAGACATCTTCAAGGAATATAAAAATCTTGAAGCTTAAAAAGTGCCAGTTCTCAAAGGCCCTAATAGAACCTTTAGAAACAAGAAGTGCAGGGGGCTGGGAAGGTGGCTCAATGGTAGAGTGCTTGTCTTGCATGCCTGAGGCCCTGGGTTCAATTCCTCAGCACCACATAAGCAAAAAAAGCTGGAAGTGGCGCTGTGGCTCAAGTGGTAGAGCACTAGCCTTGAGCTGAGGGACAGTGCCCAGGCCCACAGTTTAGGCCCCATGACCAGACCCCCCCCCCTCCAAAAAAAAAAAAAAAGAAACAAGAAAGCACAACAGGGAGGATGCCTGAGCCACAGCTCAAGAGAAAGGAAAGAAGCCCGTAAGAGGGTCGCACCTCTGGTCTGCAGGTGAGCAGAAAGGTGGAGAGCATGAGGCTGCAGAGATACCTGAAGGCAGGAGAGCTGACAGGAGGTAATGGATGACATGACCAAGTCACAGAAAAGCCCAGGCCAGACCTGGACATGCGAACACCCAGCACACTAGGTAGTTAACTGCCTGTGTATCAAATAAGCACGTCTGTGGGTACATGGCTGAGCTTAGGATGCACAGAACCATAGTGGGGTGATAAGCCAGCAACAGCTGTTCATTCCTACCATACTGCCAAACCACCTGTACACAATCTGTAGCCACACTGTGTGCATCTGCCAGGCTGGCCAGGAGCAAGCTATGCTTCAAAACACCCCTACACATATAAGTACACACGTGTGCACACACATTCCTCACCCATGGGCTGAGCCCACCCACACCAGCAGCCCATCCCTTCGGTACCCCAGGAAAATTATGCTTCCAATTTGATTGCCTTCTTTTCTTTTAATAAACAGCAACGTTATCTCCCAACCCCAACTACTATTTAGTTAAAATTTAAAGGAAAGGAGGAGACAATTGTATGGAAACACAATTATTTCACTGACCAAAGATGGTGTAAGCCTGTCAGCATGGTGATTTAAAGCCCTAAACCCAGGAATTTACAGCTCACTGTAATAAAGTAATCCACAGCTCAAAGAGCTGGATGCCTGACAACGCCCAGAGAGCCAGCAAACCATGCTGCTCCTTGAGCCCCCAGTGTCTGTGTTGAGTAGGAAGAGCTCCAAAATGAAGGACCAACTTGTTAGCATGTCCCAGAATTTCTCAGACTCACAGCCAGATTTCAAATGCAGAGTTAGGCCCTGCCTGCATCCAATGTGGATTCTAGGCGATTCTGCCAGGGGCCAGGGGCCAGAGGCCAGGGCCAGCCTGTGCAGGAAGCTCTGATGACTCAGGGAAGAACTTCCAGAACTCTGCTCCTGGTGGGCTTCTGGGAGACAGAAGCCATCGCCAGGAGATTGTTCACAGGGCACACCCTTGTTCCTTACCCTGAGCAGTGGCATTTAGATGTGGCTGAGAGTGATGAGGACAAGGTTGTGAGACTGGCAGGGCTGTTCAAAGGTGGGACAGAATTTTTGGGACAGAATTTTACACAGACACACACAGACACAGACAGACACAGACACAGACACACACACACAGAGTCCCCTATGCTGTGTACATGGCACTGGCCACAGCTCCATGGGCTCAGCAGCAGGGTGGCATGTTGGAGACAAAGCTTTGAGCCCACACATGCTGACACAAAGGCGGGGCCAGCCTGTGACTATGTGGCACATGCTTCCGTTACAGGGGTGTCAGCTCTCAAAGATGAGCTCCCACAACATGTCCTGGATCCAGTACCCAAGCCACGTGTCCCCAGCTGTGGAGGATGTCATCGCTGTCCAGAGCGTCATCTCCAGATGCACACATGTGTATGTGGTTCTGTGCATCCCACTGAGCCTGGCCACTGGTCTCTTCAACCTGATCACGTTCATCCGCAGCCGAGCCAAGCTGGGGGTGCTGGACAAGCAGCTCTTGGGCCTCACTGTCACCTGCATCATTATGACCCTGCTGTCACTCAGCACTGCCAGCAGGCCCAACTACATGCACACCACCAACCTGGGCTGTGGGGTCCTGTCCTTCTTCGCCAATGTCTGCTACTTCACTGCCCAGTACTTGCAGGGGGCCATGCTCATCCCAACCCTTCTGCCAGGCTCCTCGTGCCATCTACTCCTGGGAAGCCAGGGTGCCCTGAACCCTGCAGCAGGCCTGGCCGCCATTGGGGGCTGTGCCATCTGCAGCTCACTGATCATGATGGCTCTGCTGGGCACATCCGGAGAGCTGCACAGAACCACCCTGTGCCAGGTGGACCCACTGACCACTTGGCCAGAATATGAAATTGTCAAGTTCAGTCTGGGCTTCGGGCTGGCCCTGGCCTTCAAGCTGGTTCTCTTGGTCCTATGTGCCACCCAATCAACCTGGCGGGCAGCTCCGGCCCAGAGGGACACGGCCTCTGCCTGCGGTGTGGTGCTGGCTGTGGCTCTGAACATGTTTGCCTGCCGACTCCTCTACAACACAGTGCTCCTCCAGCGGGCCAGGCGGAAGCTGCAGAGGGACATTGGCTCCCCAAGGGATGAGCTGCTCATGAACCTGGCAGAACTGGTCCTGTTTGGGGAGAGCTGCATCAACGCCCTGGCCACCCTCCTCCTGCACAAGCCCTGCAGGCTTGCACTGCTGGGCATCCTGGGACACCTCAGCCAGAGATGTAGAGGACAAGAGGCTGACAACAGCGTCTCCCTGCACAGAGTGGCAAGCTAGGGCTAAACCACACAGACAGATGGACACCATGCCTGTTCTAGGTGTTCAGGAAAGACTCACAGAGATGCCACAGGGATGTAGGCATGCTTGGAAAGTTCATTAGACAGTGGTTTTAGGGCCTTCTACTCAGTCCATGAAAAAGCACCATGGTTCCATGAGTGACACCCAAGCACGAAATGACGAGGGCAGGAGCTGGGCGCTGCACACTCAGCCTGACATCTTCCCCAGCACTGTCGTAGCCAAGTGACAGAAAGAGACACCAGTCAGCACAGACATTCTCCAGCACCCCTAGGCCATACCATGTGCTGCTCCTCATGCCACTGCCGTTCAACCCCCCAATACTGCCAAGGTGTCTGGGCGATGGAAATCTGGTCAGGGACAAAGAGGTTCTGTCTTCACATCTGTCATCACCATGTAGCTCTGTGATTGTCACCTACTCACTGAGAATCCCTGGAACAGCGGGACTGAACCCAGTGCCTACAGTGTCCCAGAGCAAATAGGTAGGGACACCCTGTGGCTAATCTGTGGGAGGGTAGCACATGCATTCTCCCATCTGAAGGTCTGTGGACAAGTTGAGAGCATGAACTCTAAACGTTTGTGTCCACAGCTGCTACCCATCATTCCCACTGGATTTTTATCAAGACTTTGTTAAGTAAAGACCTATACCAAGGCCTTTATGAAATCTATGGCTGCGTAGTTTCAGGTATTTTTGGGGGGAGGGGAGAGGTGATCAGCTGTGGGGCTTGCACTCGGGGCCTGGGAACTACTATCCCTCAGTTCTTTATGTCAAGGCAAGTGCTCTACCACTTGAGCCACAGTACCACTCCCGGTTTTCTGGTGGTTAATTGGAGATAAGAGTCTCACAGACTTTCCTGCCTTGGTTGGCTTTGAATCATGATCCTCAGATCTCAGCCTCCTGAGTAACTAGGATTACAGGCGTAAGCCACCAGCACCCAGCTTAGTTTCAGTCTTAATGACATTCTGTAACTAAAGAATAAAAGAATGTCTATGGTAAGCTTTCTTGTTGATGTTTACATATCTGCATGATTCCTTCAGAGGAAAAGGATTCTGGATCCCAGGCAAGTAGGTGGCTTTAGCAATGATCTATGGACATTTCTAAATGCTTTCAAATGACCCCCTTGATATTTCCCCCTCCACTTATTTATTCACCTCCGTGGCAACCTTAATGTGGCATGTGTGTATGTGAGGTCTATCCACACACTCACAGCAGGCAGACAATGGGTAGACCCTGTTACCTGCATCAACACACAGAAGACAGTATCAGGGCTGCTTCTCCCAACATAGGTTTGAACTCAGCATCATGTTTACCAGATATGCTCTTGCTCTTTCGGTCATACCACCAGCTAAAGTTGCCCTGGTTATTTTATTTTGTGGGTAGTGGGGCTTGAACTCAAAGGCCTGGTCGCTGATCCTCAGTTTTTGTGTTCACACTCTGCCACTTTGCGCCACAGCTCTACTTCTGGTAGAGGGAAGTCTCTTACATGATCCTCAGATCTCAGACTCCTGAGTAGCTAAGATTACAGGTGTGAGCCACTGGCACCCAGTTGCTCTGGTTATTTTTTAAGGTACTGTCTTGCTTTTTTGCCCAGGTTGTCCTAGACTTCGATCCTTCTACTTATGTTTCCAACTATGGCTAAGATAACAAATGCTCATCAAAACATCCAGCTTTTTCTGTTGAGGTGGGGGTCATGCAAATTTTGTCCATTAGCCTGGAACCAGGATCCTTTAGATCTCTGCCTTTCAAAGAGCTTTATAGGCATTAGCTCCTGACACCCAGCCAACACAGGGTGGGTTTTGTTTGTTTTTAATTTTGTGCTTATGCTATGACTTAAACTGTCCCTGGGCTTTTGTGCTCAAGACTAGTGCTCTACCACATGAGCCACAGCAATACTTTCACCTTTTTGGTGGTTAATTGTCGATATGAGTTTCATAGACTTTCTTGTCCAGGCTAGCTTCCAATGGCAATCCTTAGATCTGTCTCCTGAGTAAGTATGATTACAAGTGTGACACATGAGCACCAAGAAAAGCAACTTCTTTTGAGAGCCTTTTATGAACTTCAAGGTCTTTTATGAGCTTGTCAAGGTCTATAGATGTCTATATTTAGAGCCAACTTAACCTGTACACCTAAGCTTGGGTCTCTACTGACTGTCATACACTTGGATATAGTTTGAGTTGTGTCTCTCAAGTCTCATTTGCTGGAAGCTTGGTCCCAGTGTGTGACTTGGAGGTAAGATGGTTAAGAAGTGGGGTCCAGTAGAAGACCACTCCAGGCTCCAACCTGACTTTCCAGGCCTGCCATGTAATCTCTCCCTCTTGACACATTCCACTGTGACATAACCCAGAGAAGGAGCCCCTCACCAAAGGCTGAATCATCAGGACCCCTGGATCTTACACTTTTAATCTTCAAAACTGTGACCTAAGCATGGCACCAGTGATTCATACCTGTAATCCTAGCTACTCAGGAGGCTGAGATCTGAGGATCATGGCTTGAAGCCACCTGGGGCAGACTTAAATTCGAAACTAATCTCCGATTAACCACCAAAAAGCCGGAAGTAGAGCTATGTATGTATGGTTCAAGTAGTAAAGCACTAGCCTTGAGTAAAAGAAGTTCAAGGACAGCACCCAGGTCCCAAGTCCAAGGACCAGGACCAGCAACAAAACAGAACAAAAGAACACTGTGACCTGAAATAAACCTCTTTTTTGTATAACATACCAGTGTCAGGCATTGTGATTATGATGGAGGATGGATTTATGCATGCATGTTCACAGCTCTATGCTGTCTGGCTGGAGAGATGAGGACAGCCAGCAGCCCTCTGGTAGCTGTGAGACCATTCAGTGTGGAGCTGGCTAGCCATCTCTGCTTCTAGCCAGACCAGCCTTGAGGACCCTCACTTACATGTGCAGCATGCAGCCCAGTTCCAGCAGACTGCCTCCAACTTTCTGGGGCTCTCTTCAAGTGGGGCCTCCTGTCCTGGGACTACATGCCAGCAATCCCAGCTCCTTCAGCATAGCCAGCTTCTATGTCTCTGCATGGATGCCTCCCTGAGCTGCGGACTGAGGCTGCCCAGACAGGAAGTGGTGAGACAGGGCCTCACCTTCTTGGATGTCTGACAGCAGCTGTTCCCTGTATCTGCCCTATTTCCAGTGGCTCCGGGCCAGTTCATTGAAAAATACTCTGCATTAGTTGCTGCCAACACCTCGTGAGCTGAGATGCAGACCCAGGTGCCCAGAGGCCCAAGGAGGCAAAGCTGCCTGCAGGGCTGGTCTGGGAGGCCTGGAGCTGCCAGCTACACTGAGTTCCTAAGCATTTCAGCCCTGGGAGTAATTTTAGAAACCCAACCGCAAAAATGTGCCTTGGTAGTTCTCAAACAGTAGGATCCTCTTAAAAAACAAAAAACAAAAGCTTACAGGGGGCTGAAACAGGAAACATTTAAAAGAAAAAAAAGTTCTCACTGGAGAAGAGGAAGAGGGAAGGGCAATAATGTTGGAGCATCGAGCGACCCCCAGGTCTCAGGACCCACCTAGGACCTTGATAAACAACTCTCAGAAGAGACTGGTTGTCTCCAGCAATAAGGTGATCCTGGGTGGGGAGCAGCTACCACAGCCCCAGCCTCTGCAGGCTCCAAGTAACATCACTTAGCTCTCACTGCAGGTTGGTGGAAAGAGCCCAGGACACCAGCAGATCTGTGAACTACACACACCAAGCTCTGGTTGTCACAACCCCTCAAGAATAAGAGGAAATGTCCCGAAGGCTCCCAGCAACCACGTAGCAGGTATTGCTACTCAAAAGTCAACATATGTGAAGCCAGCAGGACAGCTACGTGTGTTGTGGTCAGCCATGCACCAGCTCTGTGAGCTATAAATTCCTTCCCACACGGGCAGATAAGAAAGCTGATGCTCGCTTCCCCAAATAAACACTCCATAGAAATGGTACCTGTATTGGGCAACCTGTTGGCCACCTGGATACACTGCCACTCATGTCGAGGGACGGCCAGGCCCACGGCCAGAAGGTGAGGAAAGAACCACCGTTTACCACCCTCCAGGCACTGGTCATGAGGCCCAAGACATGCAGCCTAAAGTGAAGGTCAGGTGATAGCCCTGGCAAGTAAAGAAAATAAAAGGCTGAGTTTCATAGCCTCACATCCCAGATGGCCAGATGGGGTAGTGCCACACATTGGGCAGGCACAAGAAGACTCCAGTCACCTTCAAGTGTCAGGACTGTCCCATGTCCCACAAGAGAGCATTGGGCGCAGGAGACAAAGAAAGCAGGGAGAGACACTGCCAGCACTGGGGAAATTGGGGCTCTAGTCAGCACTGGCTCAGGACTTACAAAGTGACAAAGTTTGTGTGCAGGAGGGATGAGGGGACAGGGCCTCAGTGACTTTGATGGCTTCTGAAGCCAAGAATAGCAGCTTTACTGTATGGGCCCAGAGTCTACACACCCATTACACGGTATTCACTGTTCACAAGTGAAGTACCTAAGTGTTAATCACACTGGATTCTGCCATTTGCCCCATCTGAAGATAAGCCCTGAGAACTGAGCCATGCACCCCTTGTCTTTCCCTTTTAGTTTCTCAGATAGGGTCTTGGGCTTTTGTCCAAGCTGGCCTCAGATCACAAAGATCCTCCTACCTCTGCCTTCTCAGTAGCTGGTTAACTTCTTAATTGTTATTACAAAGATAATATACGGAGGGGTTATAGTTAGGTCAGGTAACGAACATTGCTATTTGGACAATGTCACCCCTTCCCTCACTCTCTCCAGTTTCTGACCCTCCCTGCCCTACCCCCCACTCCCCTCTCCCCACCTATAAGCTGTATAGTTCATTTTTAACATCATGTCCGGTGAGTAGCACTGTTGCATTTGTTCACTCTGTCCCTCTGTTCCTCTGCCTTACTTAAACCTCCCAAAGACAGATAAATGAACAAACAAGACAAAAAGAAAATGAAAATAGCAACAAAGGGTTGGCTAACTTCTTAAACACCCATAAGAACATTCATCCTGCATGGAACAAGTTTGTTGGAGACAGCCATGATGTGGTGTGGGGCCAGGATACTGGACCCAGACTCACCCTGGGCTGCCCTTTGGCAGTGGTTGCTGAGTGGCAACCCCTGGGCTTGGCCTGTCAGTAACTGAGTCTGGAAGCGGCCCCAGCTCTGGAGGGCGGCGTACCAACTCTGCACAGAGCACTGCTCGGCCACACCTTGTAGAAGGTCCTCGCCAAATGTCACACTTGGAACCAACAGCTCTCTCAGCTTGCTACAGCCTTCTACAAGACCATACTCAGAGAGCATCAACTGAGTTAAAGGGCCTAGATGCCCACCAGCTGGGTCCTGTCCCTGTCCCTGCACTAGCTAAAAGTATCACCAGATACATTACTCAACTATTAAAAGTTTTTGTTGATTTGCCAGTACTAGGGTTTGAACTCAGGGCCTTGCATTTTATTTTCCTTGCTTTGCTCAACTTGTGCTCTAGCATTTGATCTATGCCTTCAGTCTCACTTTTTGCTGATTATTTTGGAGATGGAATCTCATGGGCTTTTCTACCCTGGTTGGCCTCAAACCACAATCCATCAGATCGCAGCCTCCTGAGTACCTAGGATTACACTTGTGAGCTTCTTGTATCCTGTAACTACTGAATTCTTTAAACGAAAGGTCAGGCTCCAAGCGAGACCCTAAGGAGCCTTTCTGCTGCTGGCCCCGCATTTGGAGCACACAGATATAGCAGTGGTCACCCGGCTATCCCCTGGCAAAAGTGTGGAGGCAAGCGAATGGTGGGCCAGGGACTCCCAGGAGCCCAAAGCCGTCCTCACCAAGTTCTGAAGCCCAGAGCTTGAGTCTGTGAGCCCCAGGAGCAGCTATTTTTAAGTGCCACGCCTTGGCTATTTCAAGGGCTTGAGGCTTTATTTTATTTATTTAATTCAAGAGGAAGCTGTACTTTCTCATGACTCATTTCTTTCAAAATGGTGTCTCAAGCATTTTTAATGCAGGAATCATCTTGAGTTCATAAACTGGTCAGGAATTGTCTAAGAGCCAATAGGCTCTTCACTTTATCATGCCATTCAAACAAAAAGTGACTTCATTAGAGCAGGGTGGCTACAGCTGGAAGGGACCCCAAATACTAGTACTTTTCCACTAACAGAGGAAAAAAAAGGTAACACAGTACTGCTTAAAAATACATGGAACAGGCAGGCATGGTGGTACACACTTGTAATCAATCATAGTGCTCGGGAGGCAGAGGCAGGAGGAGGATGAGATCTAGTCTGAGATACATAAAGAAAAAGAAAAAATAATAAGCTGGGTGCTAGTGGTTCATCCCTGTAATGCTAACTCCTCAGGAAGCTGAGATCTGAGGATCCTAGTTCAAAGCCAGCCTAGGCAGCAAAGTCCATAAGACTCTTATCTCCAATGAATCACCAAAATGCTGAAAGTAAAGCTGTGGCTTAACTGGTAGAGCACCAATCCTGCTCTATCACTTGAAAAAGCCAAGAAAAAGCCAGGTACTGGTGGCTCAGGCCTATGTAATCCTAGCTACTCAGGAGGCTGAGATCTGAGGATCATGGTTCAAAGCCAGCCAGGCTGGAAAGTCCATGAGACTCTCATCTCCAATTAACCACCAGAAAACTGAAGTGGCGCTGTGGCTCAAGGGGTAGAGTGCTCACCTTGAGCTGAAGAGCTCAGGGACAGCCCCCAGGTCCAGAGTTCAAGCCCCACAACTGAAAAGAGAGAAAAAGAGAAAGAGATTAAGAAAGAGAGAGAGAAAGAAAAGGCTAGGAGATCGTGCCCAGGCCCCAAGTTCAAGCTCTGGTACCATTATAAATAACACTAAGAGGCACTACTCAAGGTCCCCATCCCAATGCCTATCAGCACCTGTGCCTGCCTCTCCCGCAGCTTTCCCTGGGCTCAGACTCTAAAGCAAGGGCAACCACCAGTAGGTGGGGCACTTGGAGACACAGCCATATGGTCCAGGACTCTCTGACTGCACCAGGCTGGAGAGCAGGAAGGGTGAAGGGTAGACAAGTGGAGAGGGCAGGTAGTTGTGGAGCAGAGGGAAGGGAATGCTTCTTCCTGAGTTTAAAGTTTTTCCTGCAATGTCTTTGTGAAAGTCATAACTTAAATCTCTAGGCAATATTCACATTCTATTATGTTAAAAAATGAAATCCAGCATTTAGTTGAAAAACCAGCAAGTTGAAATAATTTTATTGTTAAATTTCATAGAGCTCATAAGCTTTGTAGATTAAGATAATGATGATCTTCAGAACATGGGAGCACCCTGGGTATTGGGAATCCTACACATGCCGCACGGTGCATCTTCATGGGCCCCCACACTCAGGCCATTCGACTATGACTTTTATATATGCCCAGGAACTAATTGAACTGCTTTAGACATTTCTAACTGTGGTGGGACTGATGGTTATTACTGTGCTACATGGGGATGTGAGGTAACTGGGACAGGCTCTTGGATCATGCACGAGGGCCCTCCCTATCCATGTCTGGCGAATCAGGACCCCCAGACTTGCCTCGAACCCCCAGCGTGGCCAATGCTATTCTTACCAATGTAATCCTGTTAAAATAACCTTTACAGATGAGGGAAAAGGATAACTAATTGGGAGGTGGGTCTGCCATTAAAACAAAAAAGGGGGAATCTGTAGAGCACATGGGCACCAAAGATGGCTCTAAGAGGGAGTTGAGTGGGCAGAGCCCAATTTGGTTTACGTTCAGTGTGTAACCAGCCCGTGGAAACTTAGGTGCATGATAGGGTGTGACCTTGACAGTGATTGGTTCCTCCTCCTCCAATGCCATGCCACTCAATGCTTTTTTTTTTTTGCTTTAAAAAAGGCCTGCTCTGTGTTAATAAATGAGCTTTCCTGCTTGAAAAAAAAAAAAGATAATGATGATCATTGTGAAGGTTAAAATGTGTGACTTTAGCAAAGTATAACTATGCCATAGTATTGTGAAATTTATATAGTCAATCTTAATAAAGAAATATTTGGAGAAAAAAAGTAAGTTGCTAAAGCAAAAATATAACAGTGTTTCAAAAAATGATGAAAGGTTATTATCTAAATGACAAACATGGCTATTATAACCCCTTTAGACTTATGAGAATTGTGTCAGTGGGTGAGGAAAAGCAGTTGCACTGGAAAGTTCCATGTAAACATGAATAGCCAGAGTGAGCTTGTTGCTGTGTGGGAGATGGGAGAAAAGAGGCCAGCAAAGAAACAGTTAACATGGGCCTTAAAAGGAGGCCAGCAGAGCCCAATGAGCAGGGCCCGAGAGGCTATAAAGCCGGCCCTGTGCCAAAGGCCCAGACGGCTCTCACTCTCAGAGCCTGGGAGGGTGCAGAGCGCTCTAGGGAGCCCTCTGGCTAGAAGGCAGGCAGGCAGGCAGGCAGGCTTCCCTTCCTCCGAGGGAGGCTTCCTCCTCCCTGCCTGCTGCTTCTACACTCCCATTACCTCAAGCCCCCACACTGTGCCCAGGGACCCACTGGGACAGTTAAGTGCCGGGTGGCCCTCCAGCAAGCTCCCAAGCGGGAACATGGGACGGCTCTGCTCAGAACCCAGATGTCTCCGGGAGACCCAGCCCTTGGCTCAGGTAAGATTTACATCCTTGCAGTGGGCCCTGCACCCTACTGCCTGGGGGGCTTCCTGAAGCCGCTGTCTTTTGTGGCAAGGGGAGAAGTATCCACACCCCTCTTCTAGAGGAAAGTCACCAGGGATTGTGGCCTGGGATTGGCCATCCTGGGTGTGGACAACAGGGGCTTTATGTGTCTCTAAAACACAGCAGACAGTGGAGCCTAGCATTCTGCCCACTCTGCCCAAGCAGGAAGGGGTGTCGCTTAGAGAGCTGCCTGGGAAGGGGGTGTTGCAGGCCCTCCTGCAGAACGTTAGTGATGACCAACCAGGCTTAAAACAAAATGATACCAAGTTGTTGGATGCCCTCTTTGTACTTGTAAGTGCTGGCCAGCTTCTATGAGGTTGCTGTGAGAGGGGAGGTTCACACAGGTCCTCAATCTAAGACCACCCCATTCCCATGTCAGTGCTTGTGTTTAAGCTCCTCCTCCTTCATTCAGCAAGTTCAGGTAGTGTAAGAAAACAAATGTAAGCCAGGGGTCCTGCTTTAAATGCAGACTCTTTGCAGGATGCCCACAAAGACAGTACTGGGAGCAGATTTTAGGATTTTAGAAGGAAAACACAGAAACTTTTACCACCACAGATGTGGGCCACCTAGTGAGATCTTGGGACAGTAGTGCAACTGTGTAAATCGCTTTTGAGCCAGGGATGGTGAATAAGAACCCAAAGCAGCCCAGCACCGGTGGCTCACACCTATAATCCTAACTATCAGGAGGCTGAGATCTGAGGATCATGGTTCAAAGCCAGCCTGGGCAGGAAAGTCCGTAAGACTCTCATCTCCAATAAATCACCAGAATACCGAAAGTGGCGCTGTGGCTCAAGTGGCAGAGCACTAGCTTTGAGCTGACAAGCTCAGGGATAGCACCTAGGCCCTGAGTTCAAGCCCCATGACTGACCAAAAAAAAAAAAAAAAAGAAAGAAAGAAAGAAAAAAAGAAAGAAAGAAAGAAAAAAGAAAAGGAAGCAAGGAAAAGAACTCAGGTCAGTATGGTGGATTGGGTGACATGAGAGGCTTTTTTTTTTTTCTTCCTGGGTCTCCCTGCTTCCTTCCTGGCCCTCTGGCTGACACACAGACTCTGCCCATGCCGTGTGGTCCTGAGAACACTGCAAGCCTGGGTGCTGCTCTCGAAAGTGGCAGGGAACGCCCTCCCCCCCCCACCTCTGAGTCCTCCTCCCTTGCCCAGCAAAGCTTATCTACTTAGTCACAAAATGCAGTGGGAAAATACACTAGGTTTTAGAGTAATGCATTAAAAGACTAAATAAAAATTTACACATTCTTTTTTAAGATGTGGGTCTCACTAAAGTTGCCCTGGCTGGTCTCAAACTCTTGAGCCTAAATGGTTCTCCAGCTTCCAGCTCCTAAGTCTCTCAGATTACAGGATTGTACCACCATGCCTGGATAATTTCTCAAAACAGTAACTTTTTCTTTTTTTTAAAAAAAATAGACATGGAAATAGAACCTAGGGCTTCAAGAATGCCAGACAATGCTCTACCAGTGAGCTACACGACCCAACAATGACCATTTTTATTCCTTCTTCTATTTATTATCCTATGTGTAAAGAAAAAAGTTTTGTTTCTGGCATCCAAACTCAGTCCTACCATTGGTAAAAGGGCTTTAATGCAAGGGAAAAGACTGTTCCAGTTCCAGATTTCTAGATCTGCCACCTTTCAGCAAAGCTGGGTTCCCTTTCTCCTGTGTCACTTCTCTCTCCCACAGCTGCTGAGATAACCCTATTTCCTGTCCCATCCAACAGTAGCTCACCAGGACTCCTGCAGCTGGAGGCTGTGTCATACCATCTGTTGCTGTCTGACTGCTAATCCCGCACCATGACTGAGCCTGTCCCTACCAAACAGCCTGCTACCAGGGTTGCCCTCAGAGGAGGGAGCCGGACATGTCCACATTTGCTTCTACTTCTGCTCAGGGACATCTCCCCACCACAGTGAAGCCAAGACTCCCTGCCTTCCCCCATGCTTCTGTGATGCTGCCCCATCTGACTTCTACAGGCCTGTGCTACTCGATGGCCTAATCCTGTTCTGTGTGCCTCTGGCAGGTTCTCAGACAGGGACACATGTGCCAAGTGCCCTGCTAGCCTCTGGACTGACAAACTGTCTCCAGGCTCTTCTACAGCTCTTCCTGCTGGACAGATGTCCAGCTCGCATTGAAGGATGGAGCCATTGCTTCACACTGATTTTTGTGACTCTCTCAGCAAATCCTGAGAACCCACAAGAGCCATGGATGTGACATCTCCAGCCCACACCGTAGGTGTGGGGATTCACCTGGGCAGTGCAGAGTCAGGAGCCAGCAACAGTACGTCCCCAGCCCTCAACCTGTCCCACCCGCTGCTTGGCACCGCCCTGGCAAACCAGACTGGGGAGCTCTCTGAGCACCAGCAGTATGCCATCGCCCTCTTCCTCTCATGCCTTTACACCATCTTCCTCTTCCCCATCGGTTTTGTGGGCAACATCCTGATCCTGGTGGTCAACATCAGCTTCCGGGACAAGATGACCATCCCTGACCTGTACTTCATCAACCTGGCAGCCGCGGACCTCATTCTGGTCGCTGACTCCCTGATTGAGGTTTTCAACCTGGACGAGCAGTACTATGACATCGCTGTGCTCTGCACCTTCATGTCCCTCTTCTTACAGATCAACATGTACAGCAGTGTGTTCTTCCTCACCTGGATGAGCTTTGACAGGTACATTGCACTGGCCAAAGCCATGCGCTCCAGCCTCTTCCGAACCAAGCACCATGCCAGGCTGAGCTGTGGCCTCATATGGATGGCCTCTGTCTCCGCTACCCTGGTACCCTTCACAGCTGTGCACCTGCAGCACACGGAGGACATCTGTTTCTGCTTTGCTGACGTCAAGGAGGTGCAGTGGTTGGAGATCACATTAGGGTTCATCATCCCCTTCGCCATCATTGGACTCTGCTATTCCCTCATCATCCGTGTGCTTGTCAAAGCTCATAAGCACCGGGGACTGCGGCCACGGAGGCAAAAAGCACTCCGCATGATCTTCGCCGTGGTCCTGGTCTTCTTTATCTGCTGGCTGCCAGAGAATGTGTTCATCAGCGTCCACCTCCTGCAGCGTACGCAGCCGGGGACCGCACCATGCAAACAGTCCTTCCGCCACGCCTACCCCTTGACTGGCCACATTGTCAACCTGGCGGCTTTCTCCAACAGCTGCCTGAACCCCCTCATCTACAGTTTTCTGGGGGAGACCTTCAGGGACAAGCTCAGGCTGTATGTGGAGCAGAAGACCACGCTGCCGGCTCTGAACCGCTTCTGCCATGCCGCCCTGAAGGCAGTCATCCCAGACAGTGCCGAGCAGTCAGATGTCAGGCTCAACAGTGCAGTGTGAAGAGCCCACCTAAAAGGTAATCGCTCACACCTGAGCTGGGGGCGGGGCAGGAGGGGTGGCCTCAGTGCCTCACAGTCGGTTACCCCTGCTGGGGAGCCATGTTCCACTCTCCTGACTTCATCCTGACTTGTCTCAATCTGTGTCCATGTGCTCACAGCTGAGGGCCCTGCTGTCTGACCTCAGGGGGCCCAGGTCCACCTTGCTGCCTGGCTCTGCCTCCATACACTGTGCCCCCAGTGGAAACCATTCTGCCACTGACCAGTGCAAACCCAAGATGGGGGTCTGCTTGTGTTACAAGGCCAACCTGCAGCAGGAGGAAATGAAGTCTGGAGACAGAACACACTCAACCAAACCAACCCAAACTGGATACATACTGCAATGCCTGTGACGTGGGAGTTCGCATGCATGGGCTGCCAGGGCACTGGAGGCCCTATGAGAACAAAGTGTTTCACACCAGAGCACAGGGAAGGCAGGACAGCATGCCTGCCTGCACCACCAGCCCGCTGGGTGGCAATTCCATGAATGTGAAGGGCAGTCTACAGAGTGCTGTGGTGAGATGTCCTGGCATGTGTGGCTGATAATCTGCCTCTCCAACGATGATGTCACAAACCGATCAAAAAACCAAAAGACAAACTAATGGTGGCTAGTGCTGTTTTGTGTCTGTCAATAAAATGTAGTCATGTGCTGATACTCCAAATGCTCTAAGTTGTTGCTCCAAGGGTAAGATGAGGCAGAAAAAGCACAGCCCTAGGTGAGCTCCTTGCTCACGAAGAAACAACACTGTGTTACAAAACCCAAGGGCCATCCTGCAAGGCCAGCATCCAAACTGCTTGGCACTTTTAAGATGCCAGAAAGGGTGTTGTCTTGTCTGACACTTGTGCTGAATTGTCTCTGGGTGCTAAACTTTTTTGTTGTTGGTGGTGGTGATGGTACTAGAGCTTGAACTCAGGGCCATTCATGAGCTTGCTAGGCAGAGGGGATGGGGAGCAGTTCTACTACTTGAACTATACCCTCAAACCTTTTCTGCTTTAGTTGCTTTTCAAATAGTGTGTCACAATTTTGCTAGGGCCAGCCTTTGCCTATTCCTACCTATGCCTCCTGTGGGGCTGAGATGACAGGTATGTATCCATATACCCAGCTTTTATATTGAGATGAGGCCTCACTTTTTGTCCAGGCTTCCCTCAAACTATGATCCTCCCGATCCCTGCCTCCTGGGAGGAAGGGTTAGAGGAGGATCGCAGGCATGAGCCACCATGTCTGGCCTAGGATGCTTTTTATCAACCACCTTTGCAGCCACACGTTGGTATGCAGAACAGGACTGGCAGAGTTATGGCTAGGAAACCTGATGGTGATTTTTTTTTAAGACATGTGTTTGACCCTAACTCTCCATTGTGACCTCAGTGCTGGTGGGAGGACAAGATGTTCCAAATCACAGACAAGGAGGCAGGGTTGAAACTACATGGGGTGCCAGCTCTTCACCCTTCATCCTACCTTGAAAAGCAGTGATGCACAGATGCCCTAAATGTGTACAAACTGGAGATCAACCTGTTAACTTAGAGCTGTGACAGGAGGGGAAACAGACAAGGAGTGACAGAGTTTCCTATCTGCCCTTCTAGAGGTCCTCCCAGGTCTGGGCAGCCTGGACAGTCAGGTTGGCCGAGGCCACTGTCTTGCTCTAAACCCTGCTAGCCTTTCTTTAGGCCAGGGCAGAGGCTGTCCATCTGGATGGCTCTGCCCAAGACCCTGCTTACTGCCCAGGACAGATGCCATATACTTTGGTACCACCTTCTGCCTGGGAACCTGGCCTTAAAGTCCCAGCAGGTGGGGACCGGAACAGATCCCACCATAGTAAGAACTGTTTAGGGCCAGTGGCTGAATGGCAGCTTATGCCCAGGGGAGCCACAGAGCGTGTAGGCAGCTAGACGGCCAGGGCCTCTGAGGTCTCCCTCACCCTGTCTGAGCCCTGGAGCTGAGGTCAGCAAGCCCAGCAGCTTTTAGAGAGCCCGCCCAGCCCTCCTGGCAGCATTTGTCTGGAAGCTGAAGCTTACTTCATTATTTTTGGCACAAACCCCACAAGATAAAATCAACTTTTAATTGCCTTCTTGCTTCCTGGTAACCCAACTCTCTTCTCTGTACTAATGCTGTGCAAACCCTACAAGGAGCTGGAGCATAACTGTAAGTGCCCAAGGCATGGTTGGTTAGCACTGAACTAATTCCAGCACTTTCCTTTGTACTGAACTCTTGACTCACCCCAACCCCTCTATCCCTGATCAGGCCCCGGAGAGAAACAAGGGCAGGCAGTCCCTTAGCACTCCCCTACAGGACACCTTCAGTCCTAAAGGAAGTGGGGAGGAACCCAGCCAAAGCCCAGTAGGTGGTTCCCTGCAGCTCTGCAACAAGTTGGTGAACTGTGATTGAGCACCTGAGGGAACCTGCTACTATTCTTGAACTCAGAACAGGGTATGACCAGAGGTGGAAGAACCTAAGGAAGGCGGGGGTGGGCAAGAACTCCATGAGAATAGTGGGATGTACATAAATGTAGCAGTTTAGACCCAAGACTTCTGACATAAAAAGGTGTCTGCAGGTGCATGCACTTGTATGTAAGTGTGCTGGGTCCAAGCATGTCTGCACTGTGTGCAGGGCACACGCAGACACAGACATGGGGACTCACACATCCCCTGGCTCCACCCATTAAGTCCAGAAAAGAAGGGGAGCAGCTGCACAGGCCCAGTGCCGCTCTCTATAGCCCCCAGAGAACGTGGCTGATTCCAGCAGGGCAGGGTGGTCACAGGTACACCTGGAACACAAGGCCCTGCAGGTATGGAGGCTTAGAGAAGATGATAAAGTGACATGCAGAGGTCTCATGAGGCAGCCCAAAAGACCCAACTGGCCAAATCTGAGATGATTTGATCATTCGTCCAAATTGCTAAGAAATATGAACTACAACGTCTCAAATAAGATCCCACAAGTCCATTCCAATAATAAACAGATAAGTAAATCTAATTTGAATAACCAATAATTAAACAAGAAGAAAAGACTGTGAGCAGTGGAGGGAGGGGGAATTCTGCCTGGGGGTGAAGGAGAAAGGGGTTCTGGAGACAGAGCTCAGGTCAGGCAGGAACTCCCAACGAAGGCTGCATTTGGGGGCACAATGAGGAGCAAGGCACCCACAGCTCACACCAGCTTCCACAGTGGGCCAGTCCTCACCCTGTGATCATGTTAACATCACTCAGAGGACAGATGGAGTCCAGACATGACCCCAAGAAGGGCAGGGTGCCTTCTATGTGCTAACCTAGCCCAATCAGGAGCAAAGGTCAGAAAAACCCAGATGGTGAGGAGCCAGAGTGCACCACATATGTCAGTGTCATCAGAGGCAAGGCGGAGTGGCTTCCAGACCAGGAGAGGAGAGTGGTGACAGTTAAATGCAATGTAGGTTCCCCAGCATCCGGAAGGAGAAAAAAGCAGCACAGACCTGGGTGGTCTAAGAAGACAAATGGCTGCAAAAAGCATAGAAGTGGAGTTGGAGTGCTAGGGAGATTAACGTCAGCATGCATGTTCGGTTTTGGCACATTGGTAACACCATTGGACATCACTCACTATGAAAGAACAGCGCTGACAAGCTGCCACCTGAGTGACCCTTGCATACAATACACATGGTGTGAGAAGCTGGACCCAGAGGGCCACATACAGGCATAGGTGAAGCCAAAGGCAGTGCATGGCTGCTGGGGACTGTGGGGAGGGGAAGGACATGTCTACCAATGAGTGAGGAGTCCATTTGTGGATGAAGCCAACATCCTAACATTACAGTGCTAGTGGCTGGCTGTCTAATTGCTAAAACCACAGGAGCATACTTAGCAAGCTACACCTCAATAAACACAGGGTAAACATGGCTGGCCACATCTCACCGCTGGCCTTCTTGGATGCTCCCTTGCTCAGTGCTGCATAAATGCCACTCCAATAGCACCTTTATTCCTCTCCACAGTAGTAATGAAGTATGCCTTTGAAGGGAAAGAGTTAAGCTATCAGAAGCCCTAGAAGCTGTCCTCTAACATCTACTGTAAAGCTGCTAATTAAAGTTTTCTCTGCTTACTTACTGCCCGGCAATTCTAGCTTTTTTCACTCTTCCACAGTGGGAGCTAATTATTGAGGGTCTCTTTTGATATTCTTTTAAATTAAAAATAGTGGAAAAGAACTTAGGTAGGAATTAAAGCTGAATGCAGTAGATTGTCCCCTGGTATCATGTGACATGGCGAAGAACAGTTCTCTGCAGGGACGCTATCCATGGGGAGTAGAGGGGGAGGCACTGGGGGGGTTCATGAGCACTCAGGGCCCCCGTACTGACAAGCTGGACCTCCTTGCCTGCCACATGAGGCCAGGTGCAGGAAGGAAGCCAATGGTGGCAATCACTTACTCAGAGTGGGACAATGTATGGGAACTTGAGAAAAGGGGTGGCACCCACAGCAGTCCACAGCACTGTACCCTGAGGATCAGCTAGCCTGTGACCTGAGCAGCAAACTCACCCACAGCCTTGGTCTACCAACCAGTACACTCTGAGCAGGAAAAAGTGAGGGAAAAGGTCCTGTCAGAGGGGGATAGGTACAGGCAGTCACAGCACCTAGTCTGAGCAGTAAGTCTGACAGCCAGTGTGGCCTCCCAGGACAACCTTAGGCTGATACAATCACTCATAAACACACAGGCGTGTGCAAACACAACTGCCCTCAGCGTTTGCCTACACCAGTCCTGGGTATGAGAAAAGCATCATTCGCTGAGCTACTCAGCAAGCTGCCATTATCCTCTGGGTGGGGAGCCCCTCTGTGAACAGGATGTCAAACGCCACAGGAACACAGAACAAAAGGGCTCCCAAACTTGCCAGTGTTCCTACGCCCTTACCCAGGGTGGAACCAACCAGAAACTTATCACCAGAAATCAGCTGCTGGTCCTGGAGCAGCCCCAGCTTCGTGCAGGGGGACAGGCTCTGCTGAGCGCCAGTGAGTGGAGGGGAGACATGTCAACAGTGAGGGCAGAACAGAGGGGGCAGCTACTTAAGCTGTTCCTGTCCTTTCCTCCCTCTAACTCCTCCTTGGAGA